GCACCGAGCTGGTCAGGGCGTGAAGAAACATCTCAGGGTTTGGAGACCCCCGGGGGCGGAGGAGTAGGGGATGAAACCTTAGTCCGGAGCGGCGCTGAAGGTAGGTAGCGAAGAGGAGAAATCGTCCTTTTTGATGCAGGGCCGGCTGCTCTGTCAGGGTTTTTATTACGCTTTTAACTAGAGATTGTGATTATTATTTTTTTTTTCATCCTTTTTTTTTTTGTTACTAAAGATGACTTTACTCAAAGGCACTTTTTTTTTATGATGTTGGCTTCTGGCGTGGAAGGAGCACGCTGCAGCATCAGACACTGCCATGTGATTTTTTTGTCTTTTTTTTTTTTTAAGAGACTTCTGATGTGAAAACAAGAAAAAAAAGGAAAAAAAAAAAAAAAAAAAAGAAGCTGTTACACTTTGCCAGAGTGTGACAGCAGGAAAATACTCACGTAATTTTGTACTTCACAGGTTTTTAGAAAATGAGGTGCATTGGTGGGATTTTTTTTTTTTAAATGGGGGCTTTGCTTTTTCACTTCCCTCAAGGTAGAGAAATAAACAGAGGGAGGAAGGCCCTGTATATACTGTTATGGGTTGTTTTTTTTTAATTGTGATAAATTGATCATGCAGTTGAGTAGCCGATGATTTGTAGTAATAACATTGTTTCTTTGTATGTTTGTAATAACGGAGATTTTAAAAGGGATGCTTTGATTTGTACAAAACTCTAACAACTGTAAAAGTGTTTTAAAAAAGCCTCATCTGTGTCTGATACTTTCTATTTGCCTTCAAGAAAAACCAAAAAAAACCCCCAAAACCCCAAACAAACCAGCAACCAAAGCGGTGTCTCTGTCCCGGGGCTGCGTCGTCTCCCGCTGGCGGCTGCCTGCTCCAAGTCGTGCTGCTTCGGGGTCTGGCGCGTACGGGAAGGAGGCGGCGTTCTTCCGTTGCTTGGTTCGCTCCTACTTTGGTTTCTGTCTCGAAATCCTCCCAGTCGAGCCTGTCGCTGGGATCCTCGTTACTTGGTCACATCCAGCTTCCCGGCACCCATCCGGCTCTGTCCGATGAGATCTAGTCCCTGTTTTCTTCCCCAACCGCGTGAACGAAGACAGAGCACGGGAACGACGCGGTCTTGGTAGGAAACAAAAAGACGAGAGGGTAAGGGGGTTCGTTCTTTTAAGATACAGACGCAAACGAGGTGAGTAAACGCCGTTTGTGTCTCTGGGTCTTCCCCTTACCTCAGCCATGAGTCTAGAGGGAAAAACAGGGGGGGGGGGTGGGTTGGTTGGTTGTTTTTTTTTTAAAGCTTCTAATTTTCCAGCAGAAATTTTGTAGCCAAAAACTCTCCCGAGATTTCCATTTGGAAATGCCCCCGTCCTCGTGGGAGCCGTGGTTCAGCGTGTTGTGCTTTCCTCGCCTGCAGCTTCCCGGCGAGACGAGCAGTGCCGTGGCACGCCGTGCGTTCCTCTCCTCACGGAGCCGCCGCGTCCTTGAACATCTGTTCCCAGAGCGCTGCCTGCAGCGCGGGGTGGGAAAAGGCAAACCCCAGCTCTGTGGAAACACCACAACGGCTTTTCCACCTCAAAATAGTCTTTCCATATTATGTTTTTCAAAGCCCGGAGTTGCGCACAGAAAATAGCCGTTTTTCGGGGAATCAAATACCCAAATTCATAGTTAAACGCGGCAAAGAAAAATAGTTTCTATGAAATCTTTCTCATCAGTGCTGTTCTTCCTGTCTCTGTTGTTCTTCCAATCTCTTTGGCTTCTCGTGCCTGTGAAAGCAGAGGCCGATATCCACTTGGTCAGGGTTTTCACCCCCCCAGGTTTGCCGGATTTCAGCCCCCTGACCTAGCTGGGAGCCCTGGCGAGGGAGGGATGTCCTGCTCGAAGCACTGAAGCTACCGCAGCCTCGCCGAGTTACTGCGGCTCAGGGTGATGCCTCGTACGAGTGCCTGTGCTGGGCCCAAGACCAAAAACCCAGGCTAGTACCCTCGACCCAGGCAGAGGCTGCTGGGGATACCCGGGGAGAGGGTGCAAAACCAGCATGGTTTGTCCGGCGTGTCCTTCACGCCGGGTGGCTTGGAGGCTTCCCGAGCTGGCCGTTGGCGTCTGTGGCCTTTAGCGGCTCCTCGTCCCTCCTCCTCAGGCTCGTTTTCAGATGAAGGTGCCTAAATCGCAAGCTCCGCAGCCTGCCACGACCGCCAAAGGAA